TCTTAGTTCCACTACTTAGAAATTCACAAATTTATTTATCTCTTCAAATAAACAAATTTACATTTTGCTTTTTTAAAAAGGTTGTTTATATGTTCATCAAGTGAAATTAAATGTGCAAGTATTTAGAATAGGGAAGCAAATGCCAGGAAAATCAATTGTGAGAACAGGAAGTGGCTGCCTCTGGTGAGAAGTGGTGCTGCCATTTTTCCCTATAAATTTTTTATATTAGTTGACTCTGCAAACTAGGTATATGTTAGTGATACTTTGACAGAAAATAAAAGCAGATTATACTGCAAGGTGGAGGTTGAAAATTGTTTTTTTAAGGATTTATTTAATTATTTGAAAGTCAAAGTTACACAGAGAAGGAGAGGCAGAGAGAGATAGAGAGAGGTCTTCCATCCGCTGATTCACTCTTCAACTGGTCGCAACAGCTGGAGCTGCACCGATCCAAAGCCAGGAGCCAGGAGCTTCCTCCAGGTCTCCCACATGTATGTAGGGACTCAAGGACTTGGGCCTTCTTCTACTGCTTTCCCAGGCCATAGCAGAGAGCCAGATCAGAAGTGGAGCAGCAGGGACTCGAATTGGCGCCCATATGGGATGCCGGCACTGCAGACATTGGCTTTACCTGCTATGCCACAGCGCCAGCCCTAAATTATTTCATTTTAAAATGAATGTAAGCCTCCAAGCCTTATGTGTACATATTTGTTAAAAAAAAAAATTCTACAATGTTTACATAGCACCTTATAGAACAGTACAGGCACTGCCCTAAGAACTTTACATATGTAAAGTTTAATCTTCATAGTGTGAATAAAATCATCCTCATTTATCAGGTGAGAAAGCAGAGGCAAAGACAGGTTCAGTAACTTGTCCAAACTTTACAAAACAAAACGGAAGAGAAAGGGTGTGAGCCCAGGTGATTTGGCCCCACTGTCTTGTTCCTAACCTCCAGGCTGCATATCAAGGTGTTTATGAAAGTACATAAGAAAATAACTTTATAGAGGAAATAATAAGTGGTACAGGGAGCTATCAGCATAGTTTAGCTTTGGTAAGGGTTATCAGGGTAAAAGCCAAATTTTTTTTATTCTCTATTCTTTTTCTACAGGTTTTTCTAAAGATTTATTTATTTATTTAAAAGGTAGAATTAGAGAGAGAGAAAGAGATCTTCCATCTGCTGATTCACTCCCTAAATGACTGCAATGAAGCCAGGAGGCAAGAGCTTCTCCTGGGACTCCCATGTGGGTGCAGGGGCCCAGGGATTTGGGCCATCCTCCACTGCTTTCCCAGGCCATAGCAGGAGCTGGATTGGAAGTGGAGCAGCCGGGACTTGAACCAGTGCCCATAAGGGATGCTGCTGCCCCACTTTTTGTATAGTTAAAAGTAAATTTTATGTGATTTGTGTTATGAGACCTTGCACATGCTATAAAGCCACTGTATAGTTTATGTATATAAAAAGTACAGTACACTCACAGAGAAATATATCAATGGGACAGAATCCAGAAACACTAAAGTACACATTAGAATCTGAATTCAGATAAATGTGGAATTTCAGTATATTAGGAAAAAGACTAATTGTTCAGTAAATGGTCTTGGAACAGATGACTCTCCATTCTTGGGGGAGAAGGGTGGATTCTAATGCCTTGTCAGATGAACCTGAGAGTTAAATGTACAAAATGAAATCATAATAGAGACTTACATAAAACAGGGAGACTATGAAAATATTTCTCAGGTTTTTGTTTTGTTTTCATCCAGAAGACTTTTTTTGTTTGTGTGTGTGTGTGTGTGTGTGTGTGTTTAAAGATTTATTTATTTATTTACTTGAGATGCATAGTTACAGAGAGAGAGAGGGAAAGACAGAGAGGTAAGAAGATGTTTCAGTCCAAATACTGTCATTTGCCATTTCTGAGAGATCTCTTTAAAAAAAGTACCAAAGAATTAACTAAGTCCTGATTGGTTGTGAATCTGGTCTTTGGGTTCAATTTTGCATGCAGTGCGCAAAGTGAAGCAGGTTCTGAGGATTCCAGCCCAGTGTGAATGAGTACCATTAATCCCCATTTCCATATTGGCAAAACACATCAGAGCACTACCAGTAACATTTCCTGCCATGACAGTATGCCATGACAATAACTGCTTTCTTTTTTTTTTTTAAGGACTTATTTAATTATTGGAAAGTCAGAGTTACACAGAGAGGAGAGGCTGAGAGAGAGAGAGAGAGAGAGGTTCCTCCATCTGATGGTTCACTCCCTAACCGGCTGCAAGGCCGGAGCTGTGCTGATCCAAAACCAGGAGCCAGGAGCTTCTTCCAGGTCTCCCACATGGGTGCCCAAGGACTCAGGTCATCCTCTACTGCTTTCCCAGGCCACAGCAGAGAGCTGGATCAGAAGTGGAGCAGCCAGACCCATATAGGATGCCAGCGCTTCAGGCCAGGGCGTCAACCCACTGTGCCACAGCGTCAGCCCCAACAGTAACTGCTTTCTTATATAGGTCTGATCCAGATATAAGTAAGAAATAAAATCTGAAGACCACAGTGGTGAATATAGGAGCAGGCATTTGACCTAGCAGTTCAGATGTCAGTTAGGGTAGCTGTACCCATACTGGAGTGCCTGGGATGGACACCCACCTCTAGTTCTGACTACAGCTTCCTGCAACAGACACTGCAAGGCAGCAGAGACAGCTCAAGCTTGCAGCTGGATTCCCGCCACCCACGTGGGATACCTTGATTGAATTCCTGGTCCTCAGCTTCAGACACAGCCAGGAGCCACTGAAGGTGTTTGGGGAGTGAATCAGTAGATGGGACATCTGTCTTCCTTTCTCTCATATGACAGTTAAAAAAATTTTAAGGAAAAAATGTGGTAAATTTGACTATATTAAAAACAAACTTTTTCATGGCCAAAAATGAAAATCTGCTGTAAGTAAATTAAAAGGCATTTGGTGTGGTGGTAAAGATGCCACTTGGGATGCCAGCATCTCGTATCAGAGAACTGAGTTCCAGTCCCAGCTCTACTCCTGACTCCAGCTTTCTGCTCATGGGCACCTGTGAGGCCGTGGTGATGACTCAAGTGCTCCTGGGAGGCCTGGACTGAGTTCCTGGATCCTGGCTTTGCCTCTCCCAGCCCCAACTGTTGCAACTGAGGACTGAACCAGCAGATGGAAGCCCCCACCCCTGCCTCTGCATAACTCTGTCTTTCAAATAAATATATATTTTTAAAAAAGAAAAAAAGGCTCATTTCTCATTCACTTCTTACTTTTTAATGCCTTAATACATGTATAGATTATCTTTTCAAGAAAGAAAAAATATTTAGTTAAAAAAAAAAGAACCATAAAATCAGACAGAGGACAAACGTTTAAGGCACTCTTAGTGACAGAATGGGCCCACTCTCCATCTATCAGGCCTCAGTGTGAATGAAGTCCGGACCCTGGGGACCTGAGGAATGCCAATTCTCAACCCTGCTTCTGTCTCAGCAAATCCCTCTCTACAAGTCCGCAAGACCTGTCTCTGTCTTTCTCTCTGCTTCACTCTTCTCCTTGCCTGTTGTAAAAAGTGGTATCAGAGAGTGGCAGCCTTGGCCCCCAGGACAATCTGTTCACCCCAGTCCAGCAACCACAGCTGACTGCACGAGTCTTTGAAGTCTACATCAAGGGCCTCCAGCCCCAGCCGCTCGGGTCAAGGTAGGACACGGCCGGCGCCGTGGCTCACTAGGCTAATCCTCCACCTAGCGGCGCCAGCACACCGGGTTCTAGTCCCTGTCGGGGTGCCAGATTCTGTCCCAGTTGCCCCTCTTCCAGGCCAGCTCTCTGCTGTGGCCTGGGAGTGCAGTGGAGGATGGCCCAGGTGCTTGGGCCCTGCACCCCATGGGAGACCAGGAGAAGTACCTGGTTCCTGCCATTGGATCAGCGCGGTGCGCCGGCTGCAGCGCATCAGCCGCGGCAGCCATTGGAGGGTGAACCAACGGCAAAGGAAGACCTTTCTCTCTGTCTCTCTCTCTCTCACAGTCCACTCTGCCTGTCAAAAAATAAAATAAAATAAAATAAAATAAATAAATAAATAAATAAAGGGAGGACACAAAACTTGGTGTTCCCTCGGGCTCTGGTAGTGACTCTCCTAGCAGCAAAATGAACATGGTAGCCCCACAAGGACTTGGTAGGTGGAACAAGAAACGTTCTAAGGACTGGTGCACCGGGCAGACAAAGCCACTAACAGTCCCCCTAGATGTGATGAGACTGGAGACAGCCTGAGGGAACAGAAGCATGTGCAGGATCCAATAGGCTGTGCTGTCCAATAGCAGCCACTTGACATGTGTAGTTACTGTCTGAAATGTACACGTGCCATACATTTAAATTATATGTGGTTAGGGCATAAAATAAAATGTTACTGATATTAATCTCAACCCCTCCCCCTTTTTAGTGTGTCATTAGAAAATACAAAATTACAGGGCAGGTGTTGTGGCACAACAGGCCCACATCTCCTACAGGAGTGCCAGTTGAGTCCTAGCCACTCTACTTCTGATCCAGCCCCCTGCTACTGTGCTTGGAAAGCAGAAGATGATGGCTCAAGAATTCAAATCCCTGCCACCTATGTGAGATATGAATTGAGTTTATGGCTGGCTTTGGCTTGGCCCAATCCTGGCCATTGTAAGCATTTGGGGAGTGAACCAGTGGATGGAAGATCAGTCTGTCTCTCTGTCATTCTGCCTTTCAAATAAATACATCTTTTTTTTTTGTTTTGACAGGCAGAGTGGACAATGAGAGAGAGAGACAGAGAGAAAGGTCTTCCTTTGCCATTGGTTCACCCTCCAATGGCCACCGCGGCCGGCGCACTGCGGCCAGCATACCGCGCTGATCCGAAGACAGGAGCCAGGTGCTTCTCCTGGTCTCCCATGGGGTGCAGGGCCCAAGCACTTGGGCCATCCTCCACTGCACTCCCTGGCCATAGCAGAGAGCTGGCCTGGAAGAGGGGCAACCGGGACAGAATCCGGCTCCCTGACCGGGACTAGAACCCGGTGTGCCGGCGCCACTAGGCGGAGGATTAGCCTGTTGAGCCACGGCGCCGGCTCAAATAAATACATCTTTGAAACAAATTCAAGATAACGTGGCTCACATTGTTTTTCTTTTCATCTGCGGGTTCACCCACCAAAGCGCACAACAACTGGGGATTAGCCTGTCTGAGAATTCAGTCAGGGTATGTCATGTGGATTGCAGGGACTCAACTATTGAGCCATTACTCACTGCTTCCCAGAGTGTGCAGGAGGCTGGAATCGGAATGGAGCTGACTTGCACCAAGGCACTACGATGTGGGATGCAGGAGTCAACTGCTGTGCCAAGTTCCCACTCTGTCACATTATATTTCTATCAGTCACTCTGGAAGATTAAATCTGACTACAGCTTTCCTATATGGAATATAGTATGTTTTTTCTGTCTTGTTTGACTTTTCTTACTGCCCTAGAAGGGGGTACTATCTTGAGGGTTTTTTCCTATATTAACACTCTATAGGGACTGGCGCTGTGACACAGCAGGTTAAAGCCCTAGCCTGAAGCACCAGCACCCTATATGGGTGCCGGTTCTAGTCCCAGCTGTTCCTCTTTTGATCCAGCTCTCCGCTGCAGCCTGGGAAAGCAGTAGAAGATGGCACAAGTCCTCGTGCCCCTGCACCCACATGGGTGACCCGGAAGAAGCTCCTGCCTCCTGGCTTTGGATTGGCGCGGCTCCAGCCGTTGCGGTCAACTGGGGAGTGAACCATCGGATGGAAAACCTCTCTCTCTGTCTCTACCTCTCTATGTAACTCTTTCAAATAAATAAAATAAATCTTGAAAGAAAAAAACACTCTAGATTGGTTAGTTCTAATTTGTATTATTTTTATCTAAGAGTTTCAGCAAGACTTACTACTGAAAACCTAAACTTGCCACCACCTGATCTGAATCTTCTGATGCAAAGACAAGAGTCCAGTTTAAATGACTTCTACATTCCTTACACGGATTTTTTAAAATAACTTTTGAATACACATTTGCACGCGATATGACATCAAAAAGAAAAGTCTCCCTCAGCCACCTTACCCCTTCTATCAGCCCTGACACCAATATTCCAAACCTTTCATCGTGATGTGTCGCAGTCTTGTTTAGCAAAAATTAAATCTCTGAACGTTTTAACATACCATATCTGTTGTTGCTGTATTTCCAAGGTTTCTCTCCAGTAAGCTCAGCAACACCGCAGAGGACTTCTCCCAATTTCCTACAAAGACAAAATGTCTCCAGGGTTTCTACTCTAAGGAGTAAGGGATGAATACCTGCACTATTTTCCTTCTTTCTCTCTCTTTCTCTCCTCTCTTTCTTCTTTCTTTTTTTCTTTTTTTCTTGGCAGCATGCCCTGGGTATGGCAGAGCTGCTGCTGAGAGGTTTGTTGCTGTTGTTGTTTTAAGATTTATTTATTTACTTGAAAGCAGAATTACAGAGAGAGACTCTTCCATCGCTGTTAACTCCCCAGATGGCCGCAATGGCCAGAGCTGCATCGATCTGAAACCAGGAGCCAGGAGCTTCTTCCAGGTCTCCCATGTGGGTGCAGGGGCCCAAGGACTTGGACCATCTTCTACTGCTTTCCCGCCATAGCAGAGAGCTGGGTTGGAAGTGGAGCAGCCAGGACTCGAACCAGTGCCCATAAGGGATGCAGGCACTGCAGGCGGCACCTTTACCCACTACGCCATAGCGCCAGCCCCCAACTGCACTATTTCTATTTTCAAACAATTTCTCTACAATATGAAATTTTTGAGTAAGCAAAAAGAATCTGACAGTCACTGCCACCCATATTCACTGCATCCCCACAGGTGTCACTCCCATGTGCCAACTCTGGTGTCTATTAGCATATTTGCTCTAGAAATTTCTCCCACGTTGGACACACGGGTAAGATGTCCCTTGAGTGAGTATCATCTGGTGATTGGTCAGAGAAGAGCTCTCCCTGAATGCTTTGGCACACTGAGTAGTCATAGGGCTTCTCTCCAGTATGAGTCCTCTGCTTTCAGATAAGGCCAGTAATGTTCCTGAAGTCTGACGCTGGTTACAGCCATATGAGGTAGGTGCTCTCAGTGAACGTTTTCCCACACTCTACATTCACAGGATCTCTTCAGAATTTGTTTTGATGTGCAATGAGGTAACAGCTGTGGCTGAAGGACTTTTTCATATCCGATACATTTGTATGGTCTTCTCCACTGTGATTTCTCCATTTGAAAGGCAGAATTAGAGGGAGGGAGGGAGAAACAGAGAGAGCTTTCCCATTTACTGGTTCATGCCCCAAAACGGCCACAATAGCCAGGACTTAGTCAGGCCAAAGCCATGGTCCTGGAACTTCATTCCGGGTCTCCCAGGATGACATGGTGGCAGTGGTCCAAGCACCTGGGCCATCTTCTACTGCTTTCCCAGGTGCATTAGCAGAGAGCTGGATCAGAAGGAGAGCACTCGGGCTTGAACTGGAACTCACAAGGGAAGTCACAAGTCGTCTTAACCCACTGTACAACACCAGTGGAGCAGCCAGGACTAGAACCGGCGCCCATATGGGATGCCAGTGCTTCAGGCCAGGGTTTTAACCCACTGCACCTCAGCGCCAGCCCTTTATTGGTGTTTTCATGCTTGGTGAATGTCCATCTTGCTCTGGACAGCTCCATGATGCTAAGCACATGGTAATGTCCACCCTTTGCCCCTCAGGGATTCAACCTGCTAACATCTGAGATGTTTATCAAATACACATTATTGAACAAATGAACTAGAAGACACTTTGCAAGACATTACTGATGACTGCTAGTTACAAGTGAGATCCTGCATACTATTTTTTTTAGGTTCATCCTCTTCCCATACATTCCAATTCTTTCCCCCAGTGCCCCCCCACCAAGCAAAGATAATGTCAGAATCAGAAAAAAACATACTTGACAGTATGGCTACCAATTGTTCATCATCTTGTCATTCTTTTATTTCTACAATCATGGGCTGAATACCTGCTGTGTAGTGTCTAAGGCCTAGGATACAGCAGGAAACTGAACAAGGTGCTTATGGTCCAGCAAGGGAGTGAAACAAGACCTACAGGAGGTAAGGAAGTGAGGGGAAGAGGGTAGCCAGAGACAGGAGATGAGAGCTTCCCCGGCATCTCTGAGGAACTGAGGGGAAGCTGGGAGGAAATGGGCCCAGGGAGGTTACCTTGCTGGAGACTGCTTACTAGCACATTGTCACCTGCCAAAACGCAGTTATGAAGCCGACCATGGTCGGCCACACTGCAGCTTGAAGTATCTGCTGCCTCCTGAGGCAGGAACGCAGCCCTGGCCCGGGACTTCACCGCGCGGTGTGCTAAGCTGCTTCTGCAAGGGGAGCCCTTGGAGCCTGGACTGCACTGGCCTCCCTTCCCTCTGCGTGAGGCCAGTGGAGCCCTTGGAGCCTGGACCGCACTGTCCTCCTTTCCCTCTGCGTGAGGCCAGTGATTCCGGAGGTAGCGGGAGGCTGCCCGGGCCCCAGAGTGAAGGCAACACGGAGTCCAGGCAGCCAAGCCACAGCATTAGGGTTAGAAGCCTTCACGACGGCCGGTGCCGCGGCTCAACAGGCTAATCCTCCACCTTGCAGTGCTGGCACACCGGGTTCTAGTCCCGGTTGGGGCGCCGGATTCTGTCCCAGTTGCCCCTCTTCCAGGCCAGCTCTCTGCTGTGGCCAGGGAGTGCAGTGGAGGATGGCCCAAGTGCTTGGGCCCTGCACCCCATGGGAAACCAGGAGAAGCACCTGGCTCCTGCCATCGGATCAGCGCAGTGCGCCCGCAGCAGCCGCGGCGGCCATTGGAGGGTGAACCAACGGCAAAGGAAGACCTTTCTCTCTGTCTCTCTCTCACTGTCCACTCTGTCAAAAAAAAAAAAAAAAAAGAAGAAGAAGAAGCCTCCATGACTCTTTACTTCCATTGCTTACCACAGCATATCTCAGCCTATGCTGACACAACAATAATAAACAATAATAATAAGTGACAACAACAATAATAAAAGTGACATATCCCATGCTTAGGAAGACACAGAGCAACAGCAGCTCTCATTTGTTGCTGCGGGAAAAGCAAAGGGGTGCGAGCACTTAGCAAAGGAACTCTGCTGTTTCTTATAAACATAGACGACACGGCCCAGAAATCCTAGATCTGTCATTCAAGAGAAAGGAAAATTTACGATTAGACAGTACTGAATTTTATCAGAGCCTATGCTCCTGAGAAACCTACACGTCCTTTTGTGCTTGGAGAACTGCCAACCCAGCAGGGGACCACCGTGCTCTCACATACTCCAAGATGGAGGTGGACGGGTTCCATCCCCCCTCGTTCACTCCATCCTTCCTCGTGGCTCTCGTAACACTCACAACTGACCATCTTACCGGCCTGTATTAAACTCTTGTCTTCTTCCTTTCCTTTGAGGTGTTACTCATTCATGCAGCCAAAGGATGTGGATTAATCAAAGGAGGAACATATTCCCATATTCTAAGTATCACAAATCTCCACACTGCGTGGGAGAGCCCGTCTGGAACTCCACACATCCTTAGCCTCCAGTTGTTGTATGATGCCAAAAGGTGCCCTCTCCTCGGCCAACCAATGGGGAGGAAAATGAGAATAGAGGTAAGGATGTCTCTTCCTTAATTTTCCTGGGATTTCACTAATGGCTGCTCATTATTAGGATTTAATTTTCTGTAATCCAGGGCTGTATCCAAAGGGCACCTGGCTGAGTAGGCCATGTCTACTCTTAAGTAGACAGAGATCAAAAGGTTTTTTTCTCACTTTTTAAAAAAATTCATTAACTTACTGGGCAAGGGAACACACACTGAATACTTAACAGAGTATGGATGGTTAGAGGTCTAAAAGAAATAGCAAGGGGAGTATGTCAGTTAACTATGGCTGAGAAAATAAATGACCACACACATCATGGCTTAGAACCCAGCATTCTCTCAGCAGCTCTGCCAAGGCCAGACTCACCGTCACTGAGCCAAGAGTCGAGGCGCTGACAGAGCTCACTCCTTCCGGAGGCTCTCGAGGAGAACCCATTCTCTTGCCTTTCCCTCTTCCACAGGCCATTCACATTTGTTTGCCCTTCCTCCATCTTCAAAGAATCAGCTCCCACCCCTGCTTCCATTGTCAAGTCTCTTCTTACTGATCCTCCTGCCTGCCCCCTTATGGTTCCACTTAGGGCCTAGTCAGATAACCCAGCATAATCACCAATTTCAAGGTCCTTAATCTGATTACATCTACACAGTCCCTTTGCCAATTAAACCAGCATTATGAGTTCCAGGGGTTAGGATGCAGACGTAACTGGGAGGCCACCGTTCAGCCGTCCAGAGGGGCTGCTCCGCATGGTTGTGTTAACGAAGGCCTGCAGGGGACAGGAGAAGGCCTGAGCTAGAGGGGAGCACTTACAACTAGCCCTACGGCCCTGAGTTAGGCAGACCTGTAAGAGGTGATGCCTGTGTCTCTCATGGTTCATCTCTCAGCTTTGTCTCTGGGAACTGAAGCAGATACAGCCTACGACCAGTTTTGCTAACCCCAACACAAGGGTTGCTACAGATGGAGAACTTTCCTTTTATACCGCCCCAAGGGAGCTATGTTTCTGATTTGTGAGGTTATGACTTGCCTTCCTGGAATCTCAGCAAGCAACATGTCACAGAGTACAAGGCCTGTCAAAGAGGAAGGCTTTCCTTTAACACCTGTTGGCTGTCTCTTGCTGTCATAACAAATTACCCCAAACAGCACCTTAAGAAAACACATCCCACAGTTCCATAGGTCAGAGGTCAGGGTAGGTTTTGCTGAAATCACAATGTCAGCTGGGCAGCGGGGGGTGGTGGGGTGGCGGGGGTGGTAGTGCGATGGCACACTGGGTTATAAGCCACTGCCTATGATGCCGGCATCCCATGTGGGCACCTGTTGGAATCCCAGCTGCTCCACTTACAATACAGTTCCCTGCTAATGTGCCTGGGAAAGCAGCGGACGATGGTCCAAGTCACACGGGAGACCCAGATGGAGTTCCAAGCTCCTGGCCCTTGCCATTGTGGCCATGTAGGGACTGAACCGAGCAATGGAAGACTGATCTCTCTCCCTCCCTCCTCTCTCCAGCCCCCACCCCCTCCTCGCTCTGTAGCTCTGCCTTTCAAGTAAATAAATAAAATCTTTTAAAGATGATTCCTTTATTTGAAAGTCAGAGAGAGCGAGCAAGGAGAGACATAGAGAGGCCTTCCATCCGCTGGCCCACTCCCCAGATGGCTGCAGTGGCCAGGGCTGGGCCAGGCCACGGCCAGGAGCCGGAGCTTCTTCTGTGTCTCCCATCTGATCCTCCACTGCTCTCCCAGGCTCATTGGCAGGGAGCTGGACTGGAAGCAGAGCAGCCAGAACTCGAACCGGTGCCCACACGGGATGTCAGCACTGCAGATGGTGCCTTAGCCCACTGCACCACAGCTCTGGCCTCATAAATCTTATGAATATAAAAGAAACTGAAAATAGCTCATTGTAAAAATTAGAATAATAAGGAAGGAAGGAGCAGGGAGGACGGGAAGTATCACTATGCTTCTAAATCTGTATATATGACATACATGAAATTTGTTCACCTTAGAAACTATATAATTTTGACCGGCGCCGCGGCTCAATTGGCTAATCCTCCGCCTGCGGCGCCAGCACCCCGGGTTCTAGTCCCGGTCGGGGCGCCGGATTCTGTCCCGGATGCCTCTCTTCCAGGCCAGCTCTCTGCTGTGGCCCGGGAGTGCAGTGGAGGATGGCCCAAGTGCTTGGGCCCTGCACCCACATGGGAGACCAGGAGAAGCACCTGGCTCCTGGCTTTGGATCAGTGCGGTGCACCAGCCGCAGCGGCCATTGAAGGGTGAACCAACGGCAAAGGAAGACCTTTCTCTCTGTCTCTCTCTCTCACTGTCCACTCTGCCTGTTAAAAAAAAAAAAAAAAAAAAAAACCACACACACACAAACTATATAATTTTAAAAAGTCAGCTGGGGCCAGCACTGTGGCATAATGGGCTAAGCCTCTGCCTGCGGCACTGGAATCCCATATGGGTGCCAGTTAAAGTCCCGGCTGCTCCTCTTCTGATCCAGCTCTCTGCTATGGCCTGGGAAAGCAGTGGAAGATGGCCCAAGTGGTACCCGCATGAGAGATGGAGAGGAGGCTCCCCGCTCCTGGCTTCAGATTGGCTCAGCTTCAGCCACTGCAGTCATCTGGCAAGCGAACCAGTGAATGGAAGACCTTTCTCTCCGTTTCTCCTTCTGTCTGTAGCTCTACCTCTCAAATAAATAAATAAAATCACACACACACACACACACACACACACACACACACACACACACAGCTGGCCTGAAATCTTATCTTGAAGCTCTGGAAGAAAATTTATTTCCAGGCTCATTCAAGTTGTTGTCAAATCCAGTGTCGTCGTGGGCCTGATGTCTCCCTTTTCTTGCTTGCTATCAGCTTCTAGGGCAGCCAAAATTCTTGCTCTTGGTTCTCTTCTCCGTTACAAGATGAAAAGCAGGTAGTCCTCATACTTCCAATCTCCCCACCTTCTTCTGCATCTAACCCTAGTCAATGTTCTCTGCTTCTAAGTCTGATTAAACGGGACCCATCTCAATAATCCAGGATCTCCTCTCTGTCGCATGCTCCTCTCATCCCAGGATAAACAACCCTAGTGGACCAAACCACCCTGAGATCCATCTAAAACTCACCCAGTCCACATATCAGTATCTCCTCTTAGGTCAGGAGTGTCCATCCTCTGTAACTTAATTATTTTCATTACTCATTTGAGAAATCAGTTTCTAAAAGAGAAAAATACAAAAAGCTATGTGGACTCATTCCTAATTTGGAATAGTTACCTCTTCTTCAGGGTGCTTCTCCTGTGGCTGTGGCTGGTTTGGAAATGAACCCATCCCAGAATCTGAAACGTGAAACCAAGTGGCAGGGACATTGATGTTAACACTAAATAACATGTTCGTATTTTACGTGAGGGCAGCAGATGCTGAAAGGGAGTGCCCAGCCCGGCCCCCTGGAACACACACATTTCAACAAAGACACGAACTCCAACTTATAAATGAATATACACCTCTGGAAACATGAGACCACCTTTTGTCCCAAATGCTGGGGGGGAGATGGGGGGGATGGCTCATTCTTCTCAAAGCATGGACGAGAAATGTATACATTGCAACACTGGCACTGCTCACTGGCCTGGGCTGGATTACTGCTGTGGGGGCCGTCCCGTACCTCGGAGGATGTTTAGGAGCGTCCTTGCCCTCTACCTGCTAGGCTGCATCAGCACTCTCCTGGTCCGGTCTCCACACCTCTCCTGGGGAGCAAAACTGCCCCCAGAGGAGGACAAGTGCTCTACAGAATGGATAAATATGTTAAAGTGTGTCCACGCAGTGATAATAGCGCAATGAGAATAAACTACAACCACATGGAGCAACATGGAGGAGTCCATGTTAAGCAGCGAGCCATGCTGTGATTCTACACAAAATGCGGGGTCACAAGTCAGGCTGGCGGTTACCAGCAAGGAGCAGGAACTGCTCTGCTTGTCTGGTGCCGAGGATACCCACCTACACATGGGGCAGACCTTATCCACGGGGCACACTACAGGCCTTTGGCACAAAGGTGAGACGCTGCTGAGGGTGCCCACATCCCATACTGGACTTCCTGGGTTCAAGACTTGGCCCTGCTCTCCATTCCTGCTTCCTGCTAATGCACACCCTGGCAGGCAGCAGACAATGGCTCAAGTACTAGGGTCTACGCCACCCATGTGGGAGACCAGAACTGAGACCAGGACTCTTGGCTTCAGCCTAGCCCAGCACTGGCTATTTCAAATATTTGGGGAGTCTCTAATAATTAAATTTTTAAAATGAGGGGGGCACTGCCATATTATGATTTTGTAGTCCAGTTTCAGAAAATGGACTTCAGTAAGGACAAGGAGGGAGGAGACTTAAAACCAAGTGGGGGTCAGGTGGAAGCAGGAGGGATAAGGAAGCATTCCTGCTGGACTGAACAGCATCACAGGCAGAGCAGGCTGATGTCAAAGGCTGGGGATGAGGAATTCAGGTACCAAGGCTGGTCAGACTCAAAGCAGGGGCGGGATTTTGCTAATCTAAGTGGGGAAGGTTAGAGGTCTAGGAGAACTAGCAAGGGGAGTGTATGAGCAACATTGTGGCTCAAGCTGGATCCTTCATGGACAGAGGAAAGCCCAAAAATTGACCTCTATAGGCAAAAGAGGTCTTAGAAGAGCCGATTACAGTTCAACTGACAGTCTTGGTCAATGTACTTTCCTGGCTGCAGGTTTAGAAAACAGCCACACAAATCTCTGGAAAGCCTTCTGGAAAACACAGTCCACCAGGTCCTCCATCCTAGCAGTCACCCACAGGCAGGATCCCTCGGGCAGCACAACCATCTCCCAGCCAGGCTTCCACCCAGTGCCTCTCACATCACTGCCTTCCAATGGGTGGGATGTTGTCCAGTTCTCCAGTACCTGTGCTCTTCCCTTCTCCTCCTTCCTCTGCCGCCATTACCCCAATCCTCTCTACTGTCTCTCTCAGAATTTTTTTTTTTTGGACAGGCAGATTTAGACAGTGACAAAGAGACAGAGAGAAAGGTCTTCCTTTGCCGTTGGTTAACCCCCCAAATGGCCGCTACGGCCAGCACTGCAGTTCTGAAGCCAGGAGCCAGGTGCTTCTCCTGGTCTCCCATGTGGGTGCAGGCCCCAAGCACTTGGGCCATCCTCCACTGTACTCCCGGGCCACAGCAGAGAGCTGGACTGGAAGAGGAACAACCGGGACAGAACCCGGCGCCGCAACTGGGACTAGAACCCAGGGTGCCGGCACCACAGGTGGAGGATTAGCCAAGTGCGCCACAGCACCAGAACTGGGGTTTTTAACTGTAGCTGCCAATGCTGGCTGCCCTCTTCCTCTGTGAGATTGCTAACATAGGCTACCTATTCCTCTCTGTCTTTTTTTGAAAGATGTACTTTATTTGAAAGACAATTAGAGAGAGACAGAGAGAGCTCAGTCTTCTATCCTCTGGCTCACTCCCCAAATGGCTGCAACAACCACATTTGTGCAGTGTCCCAAGCACTTGGGCCATCCTCTACTGCTTTCCCAGGCACACTGGCAGGGAACTGGATGGGAAGTGGAGCAGCCGCGATGCCAGCACTGCAGGCCAGGGCTTCAACCACCACAGCACCAGCCCCTGCCTATTCTTCTCAAAAGGAAGAGGTGCATGCCATGCAGCCACAACCAAAACACCAGATGTACCTGGGAGAGGCATGTCTGCCTGAAACCCTCCTCGCAGGACCCTGAGGGCCAGGACCTCAGAATCTCAGCACCATGGAGGCACCAAGTCACAGCCTCAGAACCTTGCTGCTGCCAACACCAGAGACCGAGCTCGTTCCAGTCCTGCAACTTGTCACTAAATCTTAACTATCTGGGCCAGCACTGTGGTGTGGCAGGTTAAGCCTTCTCTTGCAGTGCAGCATCTCTTATGGGTACTGGTTTGAGTCGCAGCTACACCACTTTCTATCTGGCTCCCTGCTAGTGTGCCTGGGAAAGCAGTGGAGAATGGCCCAAGTTCTTGGACCCCTGCCCACTTGCACCCACATGGGAGATCTGGATCCTGAGCCCTGGTTTCAGATCGGCTCCACTCTGATTGTTGCAGCCATCTGGGGAGTGAACCACAGGATGGAAGTGCTCTCCTTATATGTATCTCTTCCTTTCAAATAAATAAATAAATCTTCTAAAAAAATCTTATCTGGTCAGCTGTAATTTTTTTCTTTTGGGGGAGGGTAGTATCTTTTTATCTAAAGCATCGTAGTCACTGCATACACAACAAATGTGTGATGGTATCCTTTTTTAATTTTTTTTTTTATTTGACAGGTAGAGTTATAGACAGTGAGAGAAAGACAGAGAGAAAGGTCTTCCTTCCGTTGGTTTACTACCTCAACGGCCACCTCGGCCCGCACTGCCAATCTGAAGCCAGGAGCCAGGTGCTTCCTCCCAGTCTCCCACATGGGTGCAGGGGCCCAAGCACCTGGGCCATCCTCCACTGCCCTCCTGGGCCTAGCAGAGAGCTGCACTGGAAGAGAAGCAACCAGGACAGAATCTGGCGCCCCAACCGGGACTAGAACCGGCGCCCACATGGGATGGGGACGCCACAGGAGGAGGATTAACTTAGTGAGCCATGGTGCTGGCCCCTGATGGAATCCTTTTAAATTTCTCAAAGTTCAACTAAACTCCAACTCAAAGTTCTGCCTGTCATCTGGAACAAAAGGAGTATTTGAAGAACCCTGGGGACAAGATGGCTCAGTGCGGAGACTGAGAATGTCAGAGAGGAGACCAAATTGAATCTGCAGAACCAGTGAGCAGGGATATTTTTAGATGCTGCGACCTTACTCCTTCTCTTCCTTTGAGGTTTTTTCTCTTTCCCTCCCTTCCTACTCCAGTCTACGTATCTAGGGAGCAGTCAGGCCACTTACAGAGAAGGCAGGTACACCTGAACAAGAGGGGGTGGGCAAACTCATGCAACATTTACCCCTTGGGGCCAGTGCTGTGGCATAGCAGGTAAAGCTGCCATCTGCAGTGCCGGCACGCATATGGGCTCCAGTTCTAGTTCTGTCTGCTCCACTTCTGATCCAGCTCTCTGCTATGGCCTGCGAAGGCAGTAGAAGATGGCCCAAGTCCTTGGGCCCTGCACGCATATGGAAGACCAAGAAGAAGCTCCTGGTTTCCAATCAACACAGCTCTGGCCTTTGCGGCCAATTCGGGAGTGAACCAGCAGATGGAAGACCTCTCTCTCTCTCTCTCTCTCTCTCTCTCTCTCTCTCTCTGACTCTCCTTCTCTCTCTGTGTAACTCTTTCAAATAAATGAATTTAAAAAAATTTAGCCCTTCCTTCTGGTCATACTGCCCTGGAAGAGGCATGCGTGAAGCTCAGAAACGCTGTGGTAGGTATATTCCCAAGGATGCTCTGTCTGGAGATGGCAACTCAGAACAACTCCAACAAACTAAGAATCAGAATTTCTTACCTACCCTTTGAAAATCTGATGAAAGGACCATTTTCACAAACAAAGAATACTTACACACACACACGTAAGCAGGCAATCTGCAAAGGGGGGCTCAATGGGGTTTGTAGTATGGTTTCAGGAACTAGACTCAACTCTAGTAAGGACAAGTGGAGATTTAAAACCAAGGAAGCGGCAGGGGTCAGTAGATGAAAACATCAGGAGTAACAGTGTATTCTTGCTGCACTGAAGCCAGTGAGGGACAAGGCCACCCTGCTTCCTCCTCTTTGGGCTCATCCAATGGTTGTTCCTGCTGGGAGAAACCCAAAAGAGAAGCCTGCAATGCCTTTGTGCTTAATTCATTCAACTCACAGCCTAATTAGTGCAGTGGCCTTCACCCTGATGTTGCCTACCCAGGAGTCAGGGAACAGAAGGAGCAAATCAAAATTCCAAGAGGATTCATTCACAGGGCTTTGAGGGTCACCCCAGACTTCTCTGTAGCCTCCTGTTCTCCAAGGAGACCCACCCTCCTCTCCACAAGGACATTCCCCTCATGATCCAAGTCCCCAAGAAGGAAATGATTCTCATGTCCTGGAATGTAGGATACTCTGATTCTATAGAAGTTCTGGCCTGAACTGCCGCCACCTCCCGCCACCCCAATCCCTATTTACAGCTGCTCTGTAGCCCTGACTAGCCCCTACTGGCAAAGGTCAAAGAAACCCCAAATTCATTTGCTTTTGGCTTCATGTTTTATTCATTATCAAATTAATTATACCAACAATGTAGGATTTGTAGAAGAAAAGAAAATACATACTTCCAGTCCCCAAAGAAAACCACTTATTTCTCCATCATCCACTTTCAATCTGTATCCATGTGCACTTATCTTTTACATGGCCATAATGACAGTAAACCTTTTAATAAGCATTGGCAATATGGCAATAAAACCTTTATAATTATGGTGTAGGGTGGTCAAATTCAACAAATTAGGACAATGGAAGGAGAGGGTGATCATGTAAACATAACTGCTGTTTTGTTTCAAAAACTAAAACATATCACATTTCCTGGAAGCAACCTTTCCATCTTAGTACAAGCTTATTTTCGTCTTAAGAGGAATAAATTCACTGTCCATTCACAAGCAATTTCTTTGTTCAGTTTCCCCTTCTGAAATGAGTTCTCAGCATTCTGGCAGGAGTCTGACACATAAATACATTCAAAAAGAAATCTAAAATTCTGTGATTTATGTGGGGTGAAGCACTGTGTGGGATCTCTTACAGTACAACTTTGCTAATACAAGGAAAACAAAACAGTAAAGGCTGCTGCCAAAAGTTTCTTTCTCTTCCTGTTTATACCTACAAGGTTTGAATCTATTAAGGATTTACTCATTTACAATTGGTGGGTAATACCTATTAAATAATTCCTCATACCAATTATTTACTGAATATATTCACAGGTTCTTTCCAGTTTAAGTATTCTGATGCAAAAGTTTTTGAATATCTTTAGGAAAGTGCCTTCCTCACAATCTCATGTTTTATTCCAGTGTATGTGCTATTGTTTGATAAAGGCTAAACAATCCCTGAAACCATTTTACAAATTTGTTACCTTCCTATGTTTTCTATGTTAGTCCCCTAATGAAGAGATTTAACAATATAGCTAAAGAATGTTTCATATTCTTCAATTCCACTGGATAGCTTAAAGAATTCTTTCCCACTGACCAGGGAAGAGTCACATCTGAAGACATACCTATTTCATGAAGGTTTCTGAGAATTTTCTGCAAAACTGGGAGAATAAGGTGGCCCAGATTAATTACGTTTCCACAAGTTGCTCCTTAGGGTGTGTTCTTTGATGTCGGACAAGGGATGAGCTCCTCCTAAATGTCTTCCCACACTGAGGACACTGGCTGGGACCCTCCCTGTTATGGAGTCTCTGATGTACAGCCAGGTGAGAGTTCTGCTTGAAGGACTTCCCACATTCTGGACAATGGTATGGAGTCTCCTTAGTGTGAATTCTCTGGTGCTTGGTCAGACAGGAGCTGTCCCTGAAAGCTTTGCCACACTGATTACATTCATAGGGCTTCTCACCAGTATGAGTCCTCTGGTGCCGGATGAGGCCAGCAATATTCCTGAAAAGTTTCTGACACTGGTTACAGCCATAGGGCTTCTCGCCAGTATGAATCCTCTGGTGCCTGATGAGGTATGCACTCTCAATGAAAGTTTTCCCACATTCTTTACATTCATAGGGTTTCTCTCCAGAATGGATTTTTTGATGCACAATGAGGTGAGAATTGCGATTAAAGGATTTTCCACATTCCACACATTCAAATGGTTTCTCTCCAGTGTGGGTCCTCTCATGCTGGGTAAGGTATGAACCATCTCGGAAAGCCTTCCCACATTTGCTACACTCATAGGGCTTCTCACCAGTGTGGATTCTGAGATGCACAGTGAGGTGGGAGATGTCAGTGAAGGGTTTCCCACACTCATTGCATCTGTATGGCTTTTCCCCTGTATGAGTCCTTTGATGCAAAATCAAGGAAGAATTGCGGTTGAAGGTTTTTCCACACTCTACACATTCATAAGGCTTCTCACCCGTGTGAATCCTCTGGTGTTGTGTCAGAGCTGACCCGTCACTGAAAGCTTTCCCACATTTACTGCATTTGTACGGCTTCTCTCCTGTGTGGATCCTTTGATGCACAATCAGGTTGTAGTTCTTAGAGAAGGATTTTCCACACTCACTACAGGTATAAGGCTTCTCTCCAGTGTGAGTCCGGTGATGCAAAACAAGAGAGGAATTCCGTTTGAAGCATTTGCCACATTCAGTACATTTATATGGCTTCTCTCCAGGGTAACTCCTCCTACTTTCATCAAGAGATGAACCCAGGGTAAAGATGTCCTCAAAGTCCTTGCCTTGATACAGTTTCTTGGTTCTTTTTGTTATTTTCTGATCACCAAGGAAGGTAAAATGATTGAAAGATTTAACATTTTGGGGGTATTTATAGGATTTATCTCTCATTTGATTTCTTCCAAGTTGTATAACTTCCATGGAATGGTTGGAGGATTTTCCGCAGGCATCACTGTTGCTGGCTCTCTTAGCCGTATAACTTTGGGGACAACTGTGTAGGGTTAGATCACAATCCAAACTTTGAACATCTGAGTCATGTATATGAAAGCCATTTGTTATAGGAACTCTCCGAGGTGTTGAAAGGTCTGAGTCTACATTCACATTCTCCCTAAAACCAGGACATTCACAACTTGTTTCCTGAGCCCCTGGTTTCTCCTGGGTTAAAGCTGACTGCCTCAAATGTTCTTCTTGGTTCTCATAATCCCAACTGTCACTTACAGTGGAGAAACAGGGACTCTCTGTCCTAAATCCTTCCATTTCTACATCACAGGATATTTCTTCATCAGGAATATTCTGAGTTATCATTTTCAGTTTCATGTCCCAGACTGAAAAGAAAAGAAAGGGCAAACTTAGGTCTAGGAAGCTGTATTTGGAAAAGGAACAGAAAATAATGATGGGTCACCCATATGGGAGTATATTTTTACTAGCTTTCTTTTTGGAAATCACGTCTGTACAAAGGAGAGGTAAATGAGAAACAAGGGACAAAGCTAAGAACAGATTCAAAAAGAACCACATAGCATTTTCATCCTACCAGAGAGCAGGTACAAGAAGTGGTATTGCATATAAATATCACCAAGGACAGGAGTGACCAAAGGCAAGGGTTCACTGCTTTCCATTTCAGCCACGGTGTTGTCCCCATCACCCACGATCCTTACTAACCATCAGTACAAACTCCCAAAGGCTCAACTTTCTAGTGTACTTACAACTGCACTGAACAGCAGTTCTTGCCCCAGCTATGTGGTCAAAGTTTTACCTCCAAGAACAGAGCACAGAACGAGCTTGGTGACCTGAAGTCTCTGACTGGTGAGTCCTACATCTGTCAATGACTGCCCGCAGGCTGGCATGGAAACAAATCACAGGCTGAGAGGGCAATGCACAGAATCTGAAAATGGCTGCTAGTGTCTTCATTGTTATCAATCTTTCTCTCACCACCTTCTCCCCACTCCTTTGACTTCAAATATTTAGATAACTGGATCTTCTTTTTCTTTTTTTCTTTTTTTTTGGGGGGAGGGGTAAGTAAAATGAAATTAGACCTACACTGGAGTACCCGGCTTCAAATCCCAACTCCAGCTCCTGATTCCAGGTTCCTACTAATGCAGACCCTGGCTCAAGTAACTGGGCTCCTGCCACCCACAAAAGAGCCCTCGACTGAGTTCCCAGCTCCCAGCTTCAGTCCTGGCCCAGCCCCAGCCATTCCAGGTACTTAGGAAACACAGTGGATGGCAACTGTCTAACTGACTGTCTCTCTCTGCCTCTCAAATAAACAATTTTTTAAAAAGATTTATTAATTTATTTGAAGGGCAGAGTTACGGAGAGGCAGAGGCAAATAGAGAGAGGTCTTCCATCTGCTGGTTCACTCCCCAGATGGCCGCAATGGCCGGAGCTGAACCGATCTGAGGGCAGGAGCCAGAAGCTTCTTCTGGGTCTCCCACGTGGGTGCAGGGGCCCAAGGACTTGGGCCATCTTCTACTGCTTTCCCAGGCCATGGCAGAGAGCTGGATCAGAAGTGGAGCAGCTGGGACTCAAACAGGGACCCATATGGGATGCTGGCACTGCAGGTGGTGGCCTTACCCACTATGCTACAGCGCCAGCCCCTCAAACAATTTTTTAAAAATAAGACTAAAGATTATATTCCTGTGGATCCTGAACACAGGCTGCATGCAGCAGGTCAATCACAATGGTGACCTCTGAGGTGATCTACAAATTTTCCTCAGGCCATCACTGAGAAGCTACATATACTACTGAAATGAACCAAAAACACACCCTGGGATATCAATGAAGCGTGTGCACTTAGAAACACCTTGCTGGTTTCACTGAATGATGGATAATCCTCCAATAATAAAACCATTTACTGCTCCTAAGTTCATTTGGACAAACCATAAATTCAATGTGAGTGGAACCCCTTAATAATTATGTATCTTATTCCACCACTAGAAAAAAATTCAAGAGTAGGTCCCGCCTTTAACATCTTACCAAATAAAGATAACAAAACAAAGTTTACACATGGCGCCAGTATTGTGGAACAGAGGATTAAGAAGTTGCTTGCAATACCAGCACCCCATACTGATGTGCCAGTTCAAGGCTGGCTGCTCCACTTCGATGCAGCTCCCTAATGTACCTTGGAAAGCAATGGAAGATGGCCCAGTACTTGGGGCCCTGCCTCTCATGTTGGAGACCAGCATGAAGGTCCTGACTCCTACCTTTAGCCTGGTCTAGACCTGACTGCTGTGGACACTTGGGGAGTAAACCAGCAGATGGAAAACCTCTCTCATGCTCTCCCTCTGTCATTCAAATAAATAATCTTTTTTAAAAATCATGTAACATATTGCTCACTGTTAACTTGAGTAAAATGATATGACTAATGGGACAGTGCTGTGGCGCAGCAGGTTAAAGCCCTGAAGTGCCGGCATCCCATATGGGTATAGGTTCTAGTCCTGACTGCTCCTCTTCCAATCCAGCTCTCTGCTATGGCCTGGGAAAGCAGCAGAAGATGAGCCAAGTCCTTGGGCCCCTGCACCCACATGGGAGACCTGGAAGAAGCTCTTGGATCCTGGCTTCGGATTGGCACAGCTCTGGCCATTGTGGCCATCTAGGGAGTGAAGCAGCAGATGGAAGACCTCTCTCTCTCTCTGTGTGTGTAACTCTGTCTTTCCAGGAAAGACAGAAAGAAAGCAAGACAGAAAGATCGAAAGACAGAAAGACAGAAAGAAAGCAAGACAGAAAGAAGTGGAAGTGGAGCAGCTAGAACTCGAACCAGTGCCCACATGGGATGCTGGTGCTGCAGGCCACAGCTTTACCCTGCTGTATCACAGTGCTGGCCCGACTATGAAGTATTATAATAGCTATTGATGCAATTCTCCACTTTACCAAAAGACAGCTCCCTTATACAATATCTCAATACATTTGGAAAGTGATAGGAAGAAATCACACCCAGACCCGTGGACAAAACACTTTCAGATTAAAGTAACAGACCTCTTTAACTCAATAAATTCATAAAGTACTCCAAAGAAAGCTCAGACTCCTACTGAAAATTGTTAACAGCATCACAGGAAATTAAGGTGAACATTATGCTTAACAGAGAAATATCAGAATGATCTGTTTTATTTTTTATTTATTTTTAGGTTTTTTTTTTTTTTTTTTTTTGACAGGCAGAGTAGACAGTGAGAGAGAGAGAAAGGTCTTCCTTTGCCGTTGGTTCACCCTCCAATGGCCGCCGCGGCCAGTGCATCGCGCTGATCCGATGGCAGGAGCCAGGTGCTTCTCCTGGTCTCCCATGCGGATGCAGGGCCCAAGGACTTGGGCCATCCTCCACTGCACTCCCAGGCCATAGCAGAGAACTGGCCTGGAAGGGGGGCAACCAGGACAGAATCCAGCGCCCCGACCAGGACTAGAACCCGGTGTGCCGGCGCCGCAAGGCGGAGGATTAGCCTATTGAGCCACAGCGCCAGCATAGGATTCATTTATTTCAAAGGCAGAGAGTGAAATACAAAATATTCTGGAAGTAAAATTATGATAATGCCCTGGCAAGACACCTGTCTTGAGGGAAGAAAATTAGTCTTGAGGAAGAAAATAAATGTCCATATTATCTTTAACAGTTGCTCCGGGGGTATGGGTAAAGCCACTGCTTGAAGAGCCAGCATCCATATGGGTGCCAGTTCAAGTCCGAGCCGCTCCATTTCCGATCCAACTCTCTGCTATGGCCTAAGAAAGCAGTGGAAGATAGCCCAAGTCTTTGGGCTCCTGCACCTACATGGGAGACCAGGCAGAAGCTCCTGGCTCCTGGCTTTGGATCGGCCCAGCTCTGACTGTTGTAACCACTTGGGAAGTGAATCAGCAAATGGAAGACCTTTTTCTCTCTCTTTGCCTCTGCCTCTGTAACTCTGCCTTTCATATAAATCTTAAAAAAAAAAAAACATCTAGAACATGTATCATATTAGACTCCATCTTTTTTGTCTTGGCTCCACTCCCCATTCCACCTTCCAGGCAATGCCTCAAGTAGTTGGGTTCCTGCCACCACAAAGGAGGCCTGGACTGAACTCCCAGCTCCCACTGCCAGCCTGGTCTGGCCCAGCCCTCTCCACTGCAAGCATCTGGGGAACAAACTAGCAGATGGGAGCATGTTCATTCTTTCTCCTTTTCTTTTTCTCTCTCTCTCTCTCCCTCCCTCTTTCCTCCCCTCCTGTTCTCCTTCCCTTTAGAGAAGTAATTTTTTTTTCTTTAAGAACCAAGTTTCTTAAAATAAGTAAAGGATTTTGTCTTAGTTAAGCTGCTTTCCGAATTTAAAATAGTCTCACAGTTCTGGAAGTTGGTTAGTCCAAAATCAAGAGGACCAGCATGGTCAGGTGCCAGTAAGGGCCCTCTTCCTGGTTTGTAAAAGGCCACCTTCCCACTGTGCCCCTACATGGCACAGACAGAGAACAAGCTCTCTTGTGTCTCTTCTTATTAAGGCACTGACCTCACACATGAAGACTTCACCCTCATGTCCTAACTGCCTATCAAAGGCCTCATCTCCAAATATCATCATACTAGGACTGGGCTTCAACATATAAACTTTGGAGAAGAGGCAGGTTAAGTAAGCCACCTGCTTGAGTTACTAGTCAACAAGGAAATGCTAATCCAAACCACAATGAGGGTGCTGGGCATTTAGCCTAGATGTTAAGTGGCCAGTTAGGAGGCCTACATCCCATATAGGAGTCACAGCCAAAGGATTTGATTACTTGTTTTGGCTCCTGACCCCAGCTTCCTGCTAATGCAGACCATGGAAGGCTACAGTGATGGCTCAAGTAATTGGGTTCTTGTCACTAATGTGGGTACCTGGGTTGAGTTTTCCAATACGAACTTTGGCCCTAGTCCAAGCCACTGAAGACTTTTAGGGCAAGAACCAGCAGTTGCGAGTATGCTCTGTCAAAACAACAACAACAACAACAAATCCATCAGTGAGAAACCACTTTAAACTCACTGGTACAGGAGTAGGTGTTGTGGCACAGTCACTGGACTTTTGTTTGTGACACCAGCATTCCATATGGGTCCAGTTTGTGTCCTAGCTGCTCCACTTCCGATCCAGCTCTCTGTTAATGTGCATGGGAAGGCAGCAGAAGATGCCCTAAGTGTTTGAGCCCCTACACCCACATGAAAGACCCTGAAGAAGATTCTGGCTCCTGGCTTTGGCCTGGCCAAGCCCAGGGCCACTGTAGCCATTTGCGGAGTGAACCAGTAGATGGAAGATCTCTCTCTCTCTCTCTCTGTAACTCTTTCAAATAAATAAACCTTTTTAAAAAGATTTACGTATTTATTTGAAAGTCAGAGTTACAGAGAGAGAGAGAGG